ATGCATCCAAGAATTACTATGTAATGTGCAACATGGTTTATTATACTAGATTCCTTCTGTGTCTGTAGCACACTAACAGGAGAGAGGAGGGGTGGTGGAAGAAGTGGAGGAGGGAGGGTGGGAAGGAGAAAGAGAGAGAGGGAGAGATCCCCCACTATTATCTCAACCAAATGCAAGAACCCTGTCAGGAAACCTTTTTAACAACAGTTGGCTCTTGGTCTCATAGAAGTATTTAGAAAATAACCCTATATAACTATTTTAAGGTTTAAAACCCTCATCCTTCTTCTTACAGAAATATCAGTAAACCATGGACCTGGACTGTTTATTTTCCTGGCATCAGTCAGCAGAAAACCTACTGAGGTTCCAAAGCTTGCCCTTATAATTCTAATTAAGACAGGATGGAAAGTGTCACATATATTACCTGCCTGAAAACTCAGCTTTCCCTGGGAACCAACTCAGCCTGAGAGCATTTTATAGATTATAATTAATGATTAACTAACTCTCTTCTGCTTTTCTGATCACTGGCTGCCCAGTACTAAATAAAATGCACCACAGCCAAAAAACGTAAATAACAGTACACATTAGAGCTTTTGGGGGGAAAAATGATTCTTGAGATTTAAAAGAAAAGACAACCACTTGTGAAGCACAGAGAAATGAAATTTCAAAAAGTTTTTCACAACTTAAGGCACACCTTGTGTAGGCTACTGATTGATTGGAAGGTTTTTCAAGAGACACCTGTCAACCTTATAACCTAGGACAGCAGAATAGGAAAAGCCAATGAAAGGTTTATCAGAAAGATTTGCAAATGGTTTGACATTACAAGCTAACAAAACAACAACAACAACAAAAAACCCCACCACCACCAACAACAACAAAAACGGATATAGAGCTAGTAATTTACCTTCAACAGGATAAGAAACAGGAAACCAGATTCATTTATAAGGAGGTTTAGCGATGGACTGATATGTTGACATTTCCTGGATCTATTCCAGGAATGAAGGAGAACATTCTGGATAGGCTACAGTGTTCTCTAACATTCAATAATTAATATGTTTATTACCAAATGCATTTTATGGAATAAACTCTTCAGAGCAGGAATCGCCTATTCCTGCAGTCTGTAAGCTGTGTATAAATTAATCACTCTCTGAAAATTACGATGGTGCTAATGTAGTGAAAAGGTCGTGAAAACAGGGGACTTATCCAGGTCAAGGCCCACTACCACCATTTTGCAATTCTGAAGACTGCATTGTCATGCTTTTTGGTGTGCCTGAGTGATTACACCTTTGTCAAGTCAATGTATCTTTGGCTTGAAAATGAATCTGTCAATTGGAATATACCTTAACATTTTAAGCAGGAGTACAGTTCCAAGTACAGAGGATGAACAATGCCTCCTCCTGTTACCACAAATAATGAAAACTATTTTAGAAAAAGGCATGTTTTCAACTGAGACTCTCTAATAAGTGAAATCAATAGGTCTCACCAATAAATCTTGGAGGGGAACACTTCTGTGTGTGTGTAGAGGGAGAGCGGGGAATCATTTGACTATACCTCCAGGAGTACCTGAGGTAATACAGCTTCAAACCCTGGCCTGTGAGCCAGGCTTTCTAACAGGCCTATTAGAGACCCACGCAAAACCCAGACCCCTCCCAGCAGTCTGGAGCCCAGGAAGGTTTCTATTTCACCCCACACACCCTGCTTTTAGTTTGCTTGTTTGTTTTTCCTGCATATGCTTGTAAAGGTGTAAAGTAAGAAAACAAATCAAGAGGTAAAGCCCTGATTAGACAGCCTTCTTAACCCAACCCAGGCAGAAAGAGAACTAATCGATATTTAGTACTTTGGACATACTGGCTCTACGAAGGTAAACAATAGCAATAAAAGAGAAAAGAATCCTATTCATCTTTATTTTTATCATCACCATTATTATTAGTTGGCTCTGGTTGATTATTGCTTTTCTTTAGGGCTTTCAAAATAAAGGGCCCAATCTTCGAACTAAATATAATTGCTCTGTGCCCCACTAGAATGCCAATTCAAGAAAATCAAGATCAACATTTTCTTTGCAACCTCTGTTTTCAAGATTTTATCTCATACACTGGCTAAGTTAAAATACCCTTTCATTTCAGTGACCAATGTGAATTCTTAAACTAGTTATTTTTAAAGGAAAAATAACTTGTAGAGGATGGTATTATTCTTTTTCTTTCCTTTCTGTAGGATATAGAATTGACATGCAACTCTTTGCTTAAGATTTAAGGCTGTTTATTTTCATTACACTCATCACACATACTTGCCAATGTATCAGTGTGAGATGCATATGTGAAATACAGCTGAAGCTCGAATATACTCCTATTCTGCACAAGCCTTGGCATTTACACCAGTCAAATGAATAGACCAAACTGTAACAAAATTGCTTTTTAAAAATGTTATTTTCGGGCAACCATTTTTCAAGTCCATCTGTTGTTAACTTGCTAAACTGGAATTCACTATGAAATTTACAGCTTAGGTCTCATCCATTCAAGTAAGCAGTATCTTTTCATTTTCAAAAGTAAGCTCTGGCTTGGGCTTGCTACCTCCTGACTGGTAACGTCAGCATCGTGCGCTAGCTTCCACCTGCGGGCGTATTAGAACACAGGCGTGCGCACCCCGAGTCCTCCCCTCGATCCCCCCGAGGGCCTATGTGGCACCCTCGAGAGAACACAACCAGAACACAAAACTTTCTGGCCGCAAAGTCTACTGCTGTCGCCCAGCGATGAAAAGCGACCGAGTGCAGGGAAAGGCGCTGGCTTTTGTTCCAGTGGTGTCCAGCTGAGGAGGTCGGGCCACAGCAGTTCTCCAACCCGAATGGTTGGGGGAGATTCCGTTGGGCTGAGATTTGGGAGCTTTACAAAGCAGCCCATTTCTACGCCGTCCGCGCGTACAAACACAGAAAAGGGG